GGACTCATACTCTCACGAATATAACCCCTTTCCAATAATTCTACCACGTCGCTACAACTCTTCAGCTTCCTTGGGGCTGAGGCGATATGCTGGTCTGTTTGGTAGACTCGACCCCGGAATGAGGTCGATCTGATGTTGAATGTCCCTCATAGGTGGTAGTCCTAGAGGAAGATCCTCCGGCATCAAGTCAGAAAACTCCATCAGTAGTTGCTGTACATCTGTTGGAAATTCTGAATCCACATTCGCTGTACTAATTTCACAAGGCATTAAAGCATAAACTATTTTTTCACGCCCAACCTCAATCAAGAACCTGGACATCGAAAGTAGATTGAGGTTTTTAACTACCGGGGCAAGGGTGTTTCCTTCCCTGTGAGGCACCAAAACAATTCTCTTCCCTTTGATGTTAAGAGAATAAGTATTCTTCCGCCCATCATGGATAACACTGCGATCATACTGCCAAGGTCGTCCCAACAAAACATGACACGCGTCCATTGATACCACATCACACCAAGCATTATCAAAATATTTTTTTCCAATCGAGAAAGACACTAAACATTGTTTTTCTACCGTTACCTCACTGCCTTTATTCAGCCAAGACAACTTGTATGGTTTGGGATGACGATCCATCTTCAGTTGCAGTTTCTTGATAGCCTCATCAGACACTACATTCTCACAACTGCCACTATCAATTATCAGCTTACAGATTTTATCAGCAACTGTGCAGGTTGTGTGGAAACGTTGGTCCTCAACCAATCATTCCCTGAGTCGCCCTTGGGAGTCAGCAGGCTCTTTCGAACGACCAGGGTCTCCTGACCATCTTCATATAGCACGTCCTCATCTTCACCCTCATTATACACGGGTTCCCCAACTTCCTCAAACTCCTCTATCATATCCTCCTCAATCAGAAGATTTTTATTCTTCTGACCAGCAGGCTTCCTGCAATCAGTCGCCCTATGCCCCTGTTCACCACACCTAAAACACTTAATACTTGAGCTGGAACTATCCCGCTGTGGCTAATAAGCAGGACGAGATTCTTGAGGGCGAACTGGCTGACTTCCTTCACCACTGACCACTGGCCTCCTACTCTGCTGTTTCTCTACTGCAAGTGCTCGCTGATATGCCTCAGAAACTGTCCACAATGAATGAAGGCTGAGAACATCCTGCAGGCGCTGCCTTAATCCCCCCAAATACCGTGCTACCATCTGCTCCTCCGTCTCAGATAAATCATTTCGAGCCACCAACTGATAGAATTCTTCAGTATAATCATTGGCTGATCTTATGCCTTGCCTTAGTGAATGAAGCCTCTGAAACAAGGTTTGAGTATAGCCGAAAGGGAGGAAGTGCCCTTTCATCTTCTTCTTCATCTTCTCCCAGTTAGTAATTTTGGATTTCCCCTGTCGCGAACGCTTCAACTGTTCCCACCATGCAGATGCCCTACCTTTGAGTTTGATGGCGACCAGTTTCACTTTGACACGATCTGGAACCTCCTTATATTCAAAAATCTGCTCCACTTCATTCAACCAATCAATAAATCCTTCACCCTGCAACGTACCAGAAAACTCAAGCAGTTCCACTCTGAAACCGAGATCCACATGACGATCCTCCCATCCACGATGCTCCCAAACTCGAGCACGATGGTGATACGGGTTTTCGAAACTGGTATCGAAATCGTGACATTCTACATCATGATTACAGAACTCCTGCTCCGCCAAACGTTGGGTTAACTCCGCAACTTGTCTCTGCAAATCTTCAATCGTCACATCCTGAATATTACGATCACGGTGTTGGACTTTCTCAATTGGAACCTGTCCTCGACGACCACCAACCATTATAACTGATGGAATTTATCTCCCAAGAAGATGCTGACGCTCTGATACCAACTGACGCCGGGTGGGATAGTGATTATCCTATTGACTTGTTGTAGCAGATGATTCGCAAGAAAAGAACGACAGAAAACGCCAAAAAAATCAGAGAAAATACTCTGAATTCAACTCAATATTATTAATAACGCAGAATGATGAAAACTAACCCACAAGCCAGGTTAAATAGCTGCGAAATACGAAATTATGGGAAAATTACCAAAAATGGCAAAATCCCAAAATTATACCAAAATAAAATATTAAGTAAAAGAAGTAAGTTGCCAAAAATTTGGCTCAATTCGAGTTTTCTAACATATGGAAAAAAGGAAGTGAAATATTACCATAAATAGTAAAAAATAACTTAAATTGAATTTTGGAAAGGAAAACAGTGGATTTTGGGCTCGAAATTGACGTCCACCGAGCATAGTTGGGTGGCCACGACGTGCGCGCCGAAGAGAGCTTTCCTAATTGGGGTCATAATAGCTATTCCGATAACCGTAGCCAAAGTTATGGCCAAATTACCAAAAACGCGTCAAATTCTCCCAATTAAGGAAATATTGGTGATTCACTTTCCATCTTTGCGCCGATCCACCATCTCATGGTATCTCAGCGCCATCATCGTGCAATCTGACAAATCAACATCACTTGACTCGGATCCTCTTGCATCACTATCTAATGCTCGTATGCAGGAGGTTGCAATGTGTCGCAAAATCAAAAACATTTTAAGCCTCCAACTCTCCAAAAGGAAGTGGTTGTGAAGCTGTCCTCTACCCCAAATTTCCTTTTCTTTCAAACTGAAAAGATGAATAAGTACCATCTTGAAGAGCTTTGAGTTCATGAGTGACTAGCAAAGTAGAATGGTAAAATTCTAAACGAACAGGGTCATGTAGGCTCTATTCGTGACATTTGGCCCCCTATCATTAGGACCACACTTCTCGAATAGGAGGCCCTAGTAATGTAGCACTTCTCAAATAGGAAAATCATGAGTCCATTTTCCAAAGCTAGTCGATTTAAGGAGCACTCACATAATAAGCTGATGACCACACGAAAAGCTGTTTAGTAAGTAAAGGAGAGATTCAGTGCCGTTTGGTGTCTTGTCTTCTCAAATGTACATGATCTGACTATGATTATCCATCTCATTGGCTTCTATCTGAATTTTGCGTCTTCTTTTTAACAAGCGAAAGAATTGATTGTATGCTGTTAAGTTTTACTAACTCGTATTTGAATAACAATAACTAAATTTAGTAACAATCAAATTTCTTGAGTGCTTGTACGAGGCTTTATTTATTTGTTCCTAGGTAAATTGTCGACGTTTTCCTCATCTTTTTTCCATTTTTGTTAATTACCTTAGAAAGAAGTAGAGAATGTGAGTGACTTTAACGGAGAGTTATAGAAGGAGAATGTCTGATCCCAGGCTAGCTCCTGATTCTTCAAACTTCCCTGATGGTAGAAGAATATTTCTTGATGGTTTTTGAAGTCCCTGAGACGTTGTAGAAATTACAGATATATTTGAAAACTGAGCTCGAAAACATAACGCAATTAGTATTTACAGTCTGAAACCTTGTGTTGAACTCTTGCAGGTAAATGAAATTTGAAAGATTCTCATCATGGAATATTTCTATGTTTATCTGTTTGATGTCTACGAGTTATAGCTCTTAATCATTATTATTATTATTACTATTATTTTTTTTTTGTGATATCCAGATATCCCAGCTTACACCAAATTAAATCCTGAACCCTCAAGACCCTTGCCCCTAGAACTTTGGAGGGGATAAATCACGGGTTATGCCTCAACTGAATCACAGGTTTCCCTCATTGCCTGTACACTTCTGCGCACAAGAGACCCTCCTTCACAGTGATTGTGTTACAATTTATTGAATCTGAAACAATTGATTAAACTCCATTAATGGAGAACAAATACACTCCATGAAAGGAGGCACAATCAACTCCTTTATGGAGGAAGAAAACGCCATGAAAGGAGAACATTAAACTCTCCATAAAAGGAGGAATGGAAACTCCATAATAGGAGAAAATGAAACCTCCATAAGGAAGGATTGGAAGACTATACTCCAATGAGTTAACAATGCATGCAAGTGCTCTATTTATAGAGCAAAACTAACTAACTAAGGAGGCAATACGTATGGAAGAAGAAGTCTCTAGAATCTGCATGCTGAACTGGAGGGAATATTTTGGTGGAATCTGGTGATGCACACTACACACGTGAAGTTAACTGGAAGTGATGAATGTTTGGTTCCAACAGATTGCTCCATACCAAATATTTGGCCGCAGATTCCCACATCTCTTAATCATTATTTGCCAATATTGTTGGTAGCTTGACATCTAGAATGAAAAAGCTGATTCTCTAGTTGCGAATTGTGTACTCAAGATAAAGTTCTAGTTTGAAACCGATGCAAGTTTAGAATAGCATGTAGCTGATGGCCCCATCTGAATCTCGAGTGAAGACTACGACCAATGCCACATGTACAGGAAAATGTACTGATGGGTTTATAGAACATGGCAATATTTTATTGATTTTTTTATTAAAAAAATAGTTAAAATAACCAATTAAATGCTGTCATATCTCAGAACCCGTAAAACAGCATGTGCGTTTCAACTGTGCAAATATCATTTCTGGAAGACTTCTTAAAGATCACTAAAGCACAACTGACAGGAGCTCTTACCAAGGTTCAGGAGAGAGCAGAGAGTAAATCTCAAAGCCCAAACTCCATCTCAAGGTCAGTAACTTTGGGGCTCTCTCTCTCTCTCTCTCACACTTACAAAAACACACCACTAATTGTTAGACAACCAGTGTCATACTATTCAAGAAATTGCTTCAGTAATGCCTACCTCAAACTCTGAACATAGTGTTCAGTTCCCGCTGTACTTCAAAATGCATTGATAACAAGGAATTGCAATTGCTTGATTCATTGATCATTTCATAATGTTATGAGATTGATCAAATGATTTTGCAGTACTTATCATGCTGCTGATTATTTGCCTCGAATCGTGGATATGATGCCATGTCGCATTGCGAATTTACACGCTCGTTCATTCAAGAACCAATAGCCTCAGATATCTTTACTCATGGGAACTAGTAAAACCTTCTATTTATACTCAAGTCATTTCTTTGATGTCTGCCTATAAGAAAAGAACGATATTTTATTACACTGGACAATATAAATATATAATCTGTAGACGAACAAAGAATTTAGCAAAACAAAACATAAAACAAAGTTTCGTGGTTACATAATCAGTAAATCCCATGACAGATACCGTTTCAAGCTCATAAACATTTTTAAAACACAAGCTAAGATAATATCAATCTTTAATTATTAAACCTCCATAAGGAACTCATTGTCTTTCTCCAACCTCTCCATAGCATTAGCCTCCAAAGTGATCTCCACATCAATGCTTCTACCTCCATTCTTGCCTGGATACAGATATACCATGCCATCAAACCTGTTGTTGGAGCCACTCCTCACACTCTCTGGCTCTCCCCAGCCGAAGTCTATGTCGTAAACCTTAAAACGTGGCGAACTTCCTACCGCCACACAGTTCACTCCCGCATCCTTGAATTGGAATATCTTTGGGTTGCTCTCCCACTCCTTGTTACGTGCGTCAATGACTTTCGAATCATGCATATCAATGGCCTTCTGTATCATGGCCGCACCATACTCTGGCGGGTTTCCCAATAACAACCCTGCCGCGGTTACGGTGAAAATGGCTTGAATCAAGTTCCCGAAATAGCTTTCTGGCATGGGAGGATCCACCCTTTTCCGGCAGTCAGCAAATACCGTGAAAACGGTGTAGTCTTCAGGCTTCAGTTGGCGTGCACGTGTGACTGCATGCCACACATGTGTAGAGAGTGACTGGAATGTTGAGAATGGCTTTGACCCCTCGGATGGGTAAGCGTTAGCTTTTGACTTTATTTGGTCAATGGCTGACTCAGAAAATTTGAAGACCTTTTCTCTGAGGGGTAGTTCCACCTTGGCAGACACATCACCATTTGCTGCTGACATGGCGTGCTCTGGTGCGTCCGATGGTTGGGACATGTTAAGTTTCAATCTTGTGTTTCGGGCCTTCGTACGATCGTGGAAGGGTGGGACCGAGATGGATATGGACCCACGGCACACCTCAGCCCATGAACTCATGAAGTGCCACGTGGATGTACCATCAAGTATTGCATGATTAAAGGCACACCCCATTGCAAGACCATTCTTTAGTTTTGTGAACTGTATATTATGGGCACAATAAATGAGAATGTGAAGTCACACCATTTAAAGGTCCCAAATCAGACCAGACCACACCAGACTAGACAAAACCAAGCCACAAATAATGTTTCAAATTCAGTGATTTTTGGTGTATGGATTAGATAGTTTTTTATGTAATCATGAAAAAAGTTAAAATATTGTCATTTATTAGTTATTACGCGCAATGTTGTTGACTATTACGTGTCAAATCTCGTTAGCGCATCTAACATATGCTCTATCTGATTTATTTCCCAGGAATTCCATACATACAGAAAATGTTTAACAGAAATGCAACAAAAGTCTCACGTTGTGTGGGTCCATGTGGTAATAAAAAATAAATAAAAAAGCCAAAAAATCACCCATCCTCTAGTTCTGTGGTGTTTTTTTGTGTACAGTTTCATCCCCTAGTTATGTATCTCTTCTATGGTGTTTTTGTGTGTACAATTTCGTACATATAGCAATGCGCTTTATTTTCCTTTCTAGTACAAATGTGGGTCCCTGAAATGAAATCAATTAGTATACATATTAACATTTGAAGTTTCATCTTAAAAGTCGATTTCATTAATAGGAATAGCTCAAACTTTTATAAATTGATCTATATTTTTATCTTTAATTTATGTGAAATTTTATCCCTTAAAATGCCACGCAAGATGATAGTTCGTTTAAATAGCCGAATCTTGAAATTCATAGCCTTAATTGGATTAAATTGATTTCGTTGGAGTTTAGTTTTGATACCATACTAAGATTTGGATTTCCATCTTTAAAGATCAATATTATTATGAGAAGTCATTTAAATCTTTATAAATTGATCTATATTTTCATTTTTAATCGATGTAAAATTTTAGGAAAATGCTTCTCTACCAAGGTCTGGTAGAGGAGCTCCTCTCCCATTTTCTCTCGTCTCGGAGGATCTCATAATTAAAAAAATACCCCTCAAACGCTCACCCCACCCCAAACTATGAGAGAGGCTGCACTACCAGACCTCTTACAGACCTGGTAGTGTAGCACGGTCGAAAATTTTATCCTTAACAAAGCTAGCTTGCAATGAATGCAAAGCATTACATACCTGCACAGCCAGAAGTGGCCTGTGAAGCCCCTCCAAATTCAATACTCTATAATATGGAATCAACTCCTTGAACTTGGTGGTGCCCTCCTCCGCCGTGAGATCCTCCACTGCTAACTCTTCCGCAGCCGCCACCAGCACCACCACACCGTCCATATCGTCCTCGTAAACCACCTTAAACACCCCATCTTCATCTTTTCCCAAGTTCCCAGCCAACTGATGAAAGTCCTCCAAGACTAAACCTAAACCATCCTTCAATTTCTCAACTATATCCTCAAAATCTGCCTCACCCCCTTTATAGATCAGCAACTTCTGGTTATAATAGAAGGCCAAGTAAGGAAGATCAAATGTGGTCAGTTGACACTCTCTTTTTCCCAGTGGTTTTTTGGGCTTCACGTTTGTTGTGGTGAGGATTTTGACACTGGATTTCTTCTCCTCTGCAACTTGATCACCTGCCATGGGGGATTGTGGGAAATGCAAGGAAGAACAAGAAAACCTTAAAAGAATGGAAATATAAAAAAAATAATTTTGGTTTCGTTTGGTTAATGAATTCTTGGAGATATACACATACTTATAGTCTGGATACGGTTGGGATGCATTTATGAAATTCATGGAGTGCAGTTGTTAGACATTAAATTTTCTTCTTTGCTATCGCCTTTTTTTGGTGGAAGTTGAGTAAAAGATGTCTTTTTTTTTTCTTTTTTTTTCCTCTTTATCTCTAATTAATTTTGTCAACTACATTTCTAATTTCGCAAAAAAATTAAAAAAAAAACTGTTGACACATAAAAATTCAGCCCAAATCAAACAGCCCAAGGAGTGAAACCCAATTGAAGGATCCCCAAATCAGATAGCCCAAAGAACGAAGCCCAATCAAACAAATCAAGATGAAGGCCCAAATACGGAGGCCCAAGAACGCAGTAACGCCATCGCCCAAGTTTGCAAGTCGCCCAGAATCTAAGCGAATGGAGTGTCATACAGTCGCTCAAAGCTGTTACTCTATTCTCGCCCAAACCTTCAAGTCGCCCAAGGTCTTAACAAGCATAAAGTGTCGTAGTTATCGAAAAGTGCAGTTATCAAAACAGTTATTAAAGTAGTCTTATCACGTTCCACGATTCAAGGAATTCAATCGAAAGCGGTTAAACGATGAAGAGTAATGGCAACAGTTAAAAAAGGCAGTTTTCATGACAAGTTGGCCATTACGAAGAAAGTGGGCAGTTATAGGACGATCAAGCAGTTTTTAGGGCAATTGATCACAAAGAGATCGTCCATGAAGTATAAAAGGAAGAAAGGACATAGAAACAAAGGATCGAATCTAAAACTCTCGAACAGAGAACATGTAATTTTAACTTCCTTAATTTTTAGATTTAAACACTTTTCTTTCAATAATTCGTGTGCTTGTGCCCCTTGGAGGCACGTTGTTTGTCATTTCCAATTGTAAAGTCATCGTCAATAAAAGAACGCCTCTTTTTGGGACTTTGTCTCAAGAGGTTTTGTCCCTTACACAATCGTCTGATCCTTTTTAATTATTAGCGAATAACCCGCGCGAAACAATTTGGCACGCCCAGTGGGACAGTGGTGTTAGGTGTTGAAAGTACAAAAGGTGAAACAATATGCCTCAGAGATCCGATAAGGAAGCAGCAAGTCAGGGAGGAATCCAGTCTGTGATCGAGCGATATGAGGAGCAGCATGCTTCTCCACGAACAGATGGACAGAAACAGAGCAATAACAGTCGTTACGAACCAATGACGGAGTTGAGTCCTTGAACCATGCGTGCATTACTTGGAGAACTCACGCAAGACGTCGTTGAACAGGTAAATCTTCGAAGTATTCATAATATGGAAAGATTTACACAAAATGGGAATGTACACTATGACAACATGGCCAAACAACTAAAGACGTTGAACGAAACAATGAATAAGTTAGTAGGCCAAATATGTCAACCGGCTATACATCTTACAAACTACTTTCAAACTAGGACAATTGTGGGACATAATCCCTCGGTCCTAAATCCGAATCAAGGGGTAGAATCGCTTTCTGGTCCCTCTACTTCAAACTAAGGGGGTACTACAGTGCCAAATCAAAACAATGGTAGTAGTATGCCTAACTTAGGAGGTAATCCAAACATAAGAGATAATGTCCTAAACAATGGACAGCACACCCCACGTGTTAATGAGGGAACAGATGTTCAGGCTAATGTAATGGCCATAATTATGGTAATTTTGTTGCCAATCAAGGACCAAACATCAGGCCTCATGCAAATCAACTAGTTAATCAGCCTGTAGGAATTCCATATGATCCCAATGTCATGTTGAGGAACCAGATTATGGAAATCTTATAGGATCAGATGGCTTTTGGGGTGCGTCCCGTCATTAGGCCGACGTACACAAAGCCATATCCTGATTGGGTAGACCAAGCATATCCATGGCCTAGAGGGTACAAAGTGTTAGAATTCTCACTGTTTACCGGTTTAGGAGAGGTGTCTACTCTATAACACATAGGGCGATTCACATTGCAAAGTGGTGATGTAACCGATTACCATAAAATGAGACTTTTCCCTAGTTCGTTAACAGGAGTAGCTTTCTCCTGGTTCATCAACTTGCCAGCGAACTCTGTTCAAACATGGCAACAATTGGAACAGTTGTTTCACGCTCAGTTTTATAAAACTGAGTCTGAAGTCACTTTGGCTGATTTGGCGAACCTACGTCAAATGCCAAACGAATGGGCAGAAAGTTTTCTCATAAGGTTCAAGACAGCAAGAAGCAAATATTTTGTACCTCTGCCCGAAAAAGAATTTGTCAAAATCGCTCAAGGCTGCTTGAGTTTTGATTTAAAAAAGAAGTTCCAGGGCAACGAATTTCCTGACCTTTTCCAGTTGAGTGCGAATGTGATTAAGTATGAGCGACTGATAAGAGAGGAAGAACAAATGAAAAATTATAGTAAAGGAACTTATTACAAAGACCCAAATTTTGACGTTCATACCATCGACGACGAGTCATACGATCAGGCCGAAATGTGTTTGGTCGAATTGGTCAAAGGAGATACATATACTTGTCCTATAATGGCCAAGTCTAGACCATCGGGCAAGGATGAGCCCATAAAAGATGGAAACATAAAGGCTAGAACGTTCTCGTTCGACGTAACCAAAGCTGACCTTATATTTGATAAATTATATAGGGATAAGCAGATAAAATTGAGCGATAAGCACAAATTGCCAAACCCTGAACAAATTAAGGGTAAAAAATATTGTAAGTGGCATAATGTATGGTCACATTTGACTAACAATTGCTTGGTTTTCCGTCATGTATTGCAGGATGCCATTGAATCATGACGAATTACGTTCGATGATAAGAAGAAAATGGCAGTGGACGAAAATCCTTTCCCACAGCCACTTGGAATAAACATGGTGACATCTGGATTTAAAAACAAGCTGCCAAAATTTAAGTTGATCGTAGATGATGGAGAAGAGGATCCTAGACCACATCCCAGCGTATTTGAACGAATCAAGGGGAAAGAACCAAAAAAGGATGAAGACGTCCTGTGTGTAAGGTGTAAAAGATAAGTGAATGAAAATACGGAGAAACCATGAACATGGCAGCATCCTCATCGCCCTACCTTCTTCCCAAACACTCAGTCTGGTAGAAGGCTAGGTACATCATTTTATAGAGGACCGCCTTTTGAGAGGCAGTTCAGGCCAACAAATAATGGAAGAACATTCAGGCCGCAACCTCGCTGGCCAAATGTATGGCATTCATTCCAGTACAATGCAGGAAGGGCAATACCCTTCGATGAGATGACTAGGACCCAACAAAGGCGTTTCCAACGGAACTACGGACGGATGATGAGGCAGTAACAGGGAGTGCCAAATCCTAAAGCGCCTAAACTACTCAAGATAGCCAATCAAAACGTCCTCAAAGGTAGTAAAGAGACCGGTACAGATGAATCAATGAAGGAACTGCCAGAAACTTCTTCTAGGAGATCAAAGTTTGAGCGGGACAGAAGGGATGGAGAAGATCAAGATCAGCCCCTTACCATTCAGTTTGGTACGTTACCTCCTGTCGTGGCCAATAATTACTTACTGGCCAATGAATTCAAGAATAAAGAAAAAGAAGAAGAGATGGAGGACAACGAAAGAAAAGCTTGCGTGTTGGTATGTGAAGAAGGCCAGACTTCTAGAGAGGCCTACAACGACGAGGAGGACGATGGAATGATAGATATTGAAGAAGAAATCGACCTAGAAGCAAAAAGAAGAAGGAGAGGAGTATCGCGCAATACTTTGTTTAAGCAACTACATCAAGAGGGAGTTCGCGAAATAGACTTGTTGGGGGAACCATCTGGGCGTCCTTTCGATTTCTACGTACTGTACGGGACACCCAAAAGAAAGAAGAGAATGCCTCGCTCTAAAAAGTATGGGTCACCTCCAAGAATAATGCCCCCTCCACAGGTTGGATAACTGATGAGGAAGCATTAGAAAGAAGTAGGAAGGAAGTTCAAGAGACAGAGGATCAACGTGATATACTGCACGTCGACTTATCACAGGGGGATAATCCGACAGAAAACAAGCAGGAAGTGGAAATAGAGGCTGCCGAAAAGGTTATTTTTAAACGGTCAGCTATGAAATTGACTAAATACTTGAGGCCATTATACGTTAAAGCTCTAGTTAACGGCGTTCCAGTGGCAAAAGTGCTTGTCGACAATGGAGCAGCTATAAACACCATTCCATCTAGGATGATGAGGAAGGTCGCAAAGACAGAGGGTGACATGATTCCTACAGAAGTCATCCTCACTAGCTTCAATGGAGGAGCAACTTCAGCTAAGGGAGTTATGCCATTGGACATAACCATAGGGACGACTACTAGGACTACTGTCTTCTTTGTAATAGATGGTCCTACTAGTTACAATGTGCTACTAGGAAGAGATTGGATACACGAAAGTCGCTGTATACCCTCATCGCTCCATCAATGCCTAATCTTTTGGAATAACAAAGGCGAAGAAGAGGTGGTACAGGCCGATCATAGGCCATTTGTCGCAGAAGCAAACTCAGTGGAAAAGTTCATGTACGAAGGAAACTATGGACCTGTCAGGGTAGTACAAGACGGGAAAGAAACTCAAGTTGTCGCACAAAGCGAAGAACCGTTCTCAGTGGATGCACTCACTGAGATGTTCAAAAAGATGAGGCCAAATATAGTGGCCCTGGAAGAGCCAGTGATTGGCAAAAGAATAATCAAGGAATCTTGAATGGATTCTGAGTTACGAAAGCAAATGGCCGACATTCAGGCCTTCAAAGCCAGACTGATGGCTTTCAATAAGGAATGCAATGACAAGGTGAAGGAAGAGACTGCCTTAAAAGCGCTGAAGGACAAGTTGGCAGTATTCGAGTTAGAGCAAATCATTGGCCGAGAAGTCAACAAGGTGGACTGTTTAGAAGTGGAAGTATTTACAAGGGAACTGGACGACGAAGTGATGCGGATCGCCAAACCTGGATATACTCAAGCACAAGACCCTCTGATCAAAGTAAATATTGGCAATGAAGGAGAAGATCGTCCAACATTCAT